ATCATGGGAATCTTGTATTCGAAATATATGAGGAGGGAGGGAGGAAGGGAGAGCGGACATCAGTAAGTAGGAAGTAAGTAAGTAAGTAAGTAAAGTGAAAGTTAACCCGAACATGGGAAAGGAGGACGTGAGAAAGGATGCACGAAGGGAAAAATACAAGGAACGATCATTCCTCCTCCTCTAAGGGATCTCATCATAAAGAACGATCATCTTGATCAAGATCTAGATAGATAGGTGTTAGGTAGGTCACTCAATGTACTACATATATATATACATACATGCAGGTACATAACCTCATTCATAACCGACACAGACAAAATGCGAATTCGAATCCGAGGTTTGGTTTGGTTTCATCAGCAAGAGAGGGGTATTCTGCGTACCCATCTAGGTGTTTGGGTACCACCACACTATATCTATTTCCATCTGAAAAAAAGATATCAATATGATTTCTTTCGCTAGTGTGTATTTGCAAGGTGTGTTTACTCCCATCTCGCATTTTTATATCCATCACTCCATAGATTCACAACACTCTTACTTCTTTTCCTGTCGTTTGCTCGCAGATTTATTTATTTGTATATATGTATGTAGGTATGTATATATAATATAATCGACCAATCGATTTTCTATCACATCACATCACATCACATCACAATACTTCTCTACACCACATCTCCACCGCGCATAACTATCTACCCATCACAAAATACAAATACGACACGCGTCACATACGCAGAGAAATAGTATAAGAACACAAAACATGTGTTCTCTACATATGTCGTGGCATCTATCAAGAGCTAGTTGGGTTGAATTAAGCTTACATTCCATTCTGTATTCCATCAATGAATCAATCAATCAGAATCACAGATATCGAGATCATCCCAACAAGTGATGCGAAAGAAAAGACTCCACTGCGTGCAGCAGTCTATCGTTTCCGCATTCGATGGGTATGTGATGTCCCCTGAGAATTTTGACGTCGATACAAATAATCACAAAAGGGGTACAAGTAGTTCGACAGATGCTTGGAGTAACGGGGTGAGATTGGGCATGTAGATCTGGAGGGTGGATGCCACATGTACGAGTTATGTTCGCTAGGGTTGCTGGAGTTGATGGGTTTGCATTACTTCGGTAGGTACCTAGGTCCTAGGGTGGGTGACACGTAGTGGAAAGAGTGATGTACAAATAACGTGATGCTTTTGATGTGATGGATGTAGTATAGATCCCAATATCTACACTACACCACGTTAACCACATAGACAGAGTATCGAGTCACTTCAAATCACAAGTAATATCTCAAGTCAAACAAATGTATGAAAGCAACAAAGCCCAATCAATCGAATTTTAGAAAAATAGCTTCAGCGGAGCCCATTTTCCGTCTATAGAACTTTTGCTCATACCCCCCCCAAATATCAAGCATAAACTCCATCCATAAAACCATCCATCCAGTGGGCCTAACCCATCTTATCCTATCTTTGAAAAGAAGGTACCTGCAAAAACAAAATCCCAACGAAACAAGCCCCCAACATGATGTATATGCCAATTGCAACGAGCAAAGAGAGAAAAAAAGAGAAACGAAAGATAAGATATCATAACCGGATCGAATCTATCTATCAAATCTATGCAAGTCTTCGAGTATTGTGAGAATTCCGTAGGCAACAATATAGGTGGAGACTTGGACGTCTAGAGACCCAAACATGAGACGCAACAAGCGAAACATGCCAGATGTTGTTTTGTTGGAAGCTTTTGCAATAAAGGTGACGAAGAAATAGATTAGAGTTTGTTTCAAATGACGTGATGAAAAGACAACAGGTGAAGAAAAAAAGCTCTTTGAAATAGGAAAGGTCGACGAAAAGGTGACGCGGAAAGTTATTGCTTTTGTGCGAAAAGCGAAAATGGAAATGGAGACGTAAATTCATGTAAACACGTAAACGGTGCTCCTTCGTGAAACACTGGAAAGTTTGTCGTGGTCGCGTGAGAAGCGAAATGATCGCACTGAGTTGTCGATTGTGAAAAGTCGAAAAATTTGTCTCGGGGTGCAGATCATCGCTGCTTAATTGCTTAAGCGTTGATAACGTTGACGGAGGGATGGCGAAGGGGCGGGAAGACATTGACACCATATTGACCGCCCATATTTCCTGAAGGGGAAAGATTAGTGAAAAGATATAGATTGAGGAGTAAGATGAGGAACAAACCTGGTGGAGAATAATTGCAGACAGTATACCAAGCTGGCATACTTGGCCAAATGTCCATCGGTTGACAAAGTTGGGTTGCACAACCAACAGAATTGGTACCAAGCCAAACCATCTGAGTGAAATGACCCCAAGCTTCAAAGGTGGTCAAATCTGGGTTGTTCTTACCGTAGTAAGAAGGAAGGTAGGTTGGTTGTTCTCCGTTGTACCACATGTTTGTGGCAGCGACAGCCATCTCCTTGTTGGCACCGAGAGCCTTAGCATTGGTGGAACCGTATGCAGCAATGTTTTGTCCATATCCACCGCCATTAATGTTCCTAAAGAAGAATTAGTGCTGGTAGGACGGAGGTGACCCAGAAAAGTACTCACATGCTGTGGCCCCACTTGCATGTTGCAGCAAGAACTTGAGCGGATGCAACAAGCTTTGTGTCCCACTTGAGGAGAGGAACAGAGTGATTGGCGCGATGGATATTGTGGTGATACAAAGCAGTCGAAACATAGTCTGTGGGAGTCGCAGTTGGGACTGGTGCCAATGTGGTGGAAGGGTAGACGGTAGTGGTGACATGAAGGATGGTCGTTGCAACTGCCTTCCCATTGGAATTATAGATGACTTCGGTGACATCGTAGGTTTGGATGATTTGGCGCTTGAGGCGATTGAGAAAGTCGGTGATTGGCGACGCTGTTACCATCAAGGCAAATAGCATAGCCAAAGCAAATTGCAAACGCATCTTGGCGATATTATAGAAACTTTGAGTTATGTGACTCTGGTAAATCGACAAGATGTGAGTTGTGAATGGCGCGTCCAAAGAAACGAGGAAGAATTAAAAAAAAATATCTAGGTATCAAGCACTAGAAGTAGAGCTTGGTAAAGACTGTGGGTATAGAAAGGAGATCTAAGGTCTGGTTGAAAGATTGTAATGTTTTTGGAAGAAGAGGAGGAGGGGAAGGCGGTTGAACGTTTGTTTATATTCCCAAAATATTTCCACGTGGATTTTGATAATAGTGTCCCGTCTCTTGAGGATATTACTCGGTTATATCACTCGATTGAGACTTGATATTAAAACAAAATGAGGGAGGAACCTTAATCGGACCTTCCATTCACTTTTTGGGGGAGATCGAGGAGGAAATATAGAGAAAATTGAGAGTAATTTGAATGGTGATTTGGATCTGTTAATGACGTATTGAATTCTGAGATTTGTGTTACTTGGTTCCGACGCGGATGTCTTACAGTCCGTGAAGCTTGATAGTTGTACGGGGTTATTGTGATTGTGATGATGGATACTTGACGTTGCTCTTTCTTTTTCTGCATCTTATCATGTGGTGTAGGAAAGTGCAAATCACCATAGGAACCTGGGGCCCCAGATACTCGCCACTACCTTGGAGATACCTAGGTAGGTATCGATGAGTCTTAAAGAATGAATGGACCCGTGACTCTCGAGTCTCCCATTCTTGACTCAAATGAGCTTTCAAAGTGAATATTCGGTATGTGGACGCCACATGGCGCACCGACTACTTAATATCAAGATGTTTCCATGCCTCTCAAAATGAAATGACAAACAAAATTACCTACCTACAACGCCCAGATAAGCATAATAAGAACCCCGGTTGAATGATGGCTTGAAGTGACATCCATGATAGATTCAAAATCATAATAAACTTAAGAAACAGCTGTCATTAACTGTCCATCTAGCGGTGTCGTCTGTTGACTTGTGTTCCATTCCTAAATCCCCACATTCCTGGAACTTGGCTATCCATATATTCGAAAAGGAATCAGTCCCAAGACTCTTGGGCATGATAACTTTCCAAAATCATCTCAAAGCATTCTCCTTTACAATAATACACTTGAGCCGACAATATACACAGCTCTTGGCTTTCGCCAATGTTTTCGTTCTTGGAAACTCCTAAAACCTGGAGAACCTCGACTCCTTCGCCACAAATACAACAGTAGATAGCTGGAATGTGGGCAGATTAGCGGTGTCGTCTCCTGAACTGTCTTCAAACAAACATCATTCAATATGTCAAATGATGCTTTGAGGTCTAATCCAAGGTTCAAGAGAATTTCCGTGGGTGAGGATAACCGGAAATTCAGATATCGAGGAATCATATGGATGGAAGATGGCTTGCAGACCGCTGAGACGTATGTGTTGAGATTATGAGTTGAGAAGGTTTAGAACTTCTAAGTACGAAGACGGAGAAGTGTCAAATGTCTCTTCAGATCAATGCCCAGGTTTGTGTCCAAAGACCCCTGAAAAGAATGCAGTCAATGATAAACAGAGTGGAAACTTAACAGATAGAAACGTCAGCAAAACGATGGCAGGTGCAAGAAAGAAGTCATTTTGGAAACAGCAAGAGGGGCCAAGTGTTTCCAAGTCCAAAAACTTTTAGAAGGCCAGACATGCATCGATTATTGATGAACACTTGTCCTTGATGCTTGATAGTTGGAAGGAGAAGAGAGACATGGTCAAGTACCGTGAGCTGTCCTTTGTTCTTATTGACTAGTGGCTGCTTAGTTGCTCCCTTTTTGGTGCACTCGGTGCCGTACTCATGCAACCCCCCAAGTATTGCGTTTATCATAATCCGAGATCCAGGTACGTTCCAAAACTTCAGCAGATCCTAGGAGAACCTTTGTATTTGTTTCAAACCGGTATATGCATACCGTTCCTGTGCGTGCTGCCATCCTTATTGTACAATTTACTTTCCCCTCCAATCGATCTTATGCTCTAATGTATTATTAATAAACAGCCCCCAGGTACGGATATCTCAACCTCCTATCTCAATCTCGCATATATGCTTGGTATATTCAATAAACGCCTTCTATAGTTTGCCCTTCCCAATCCCCTCCATCTCTCTTCCCAATTCCTCCCTCAACTGCGCCGCTAAAACCTTAGCTTCATCCTCATCCAACTCGCTCCTCTGCCCCCTCCCAAACATCGTAAAAGATCGATTGCGTAACTCGGGAGTTAGCCCCGGTCTCGGGATAATATGAAAATGTACATGCGGTACCACTTGCGCTGCAGCCGCTCCTATATTTATCGCCATCATTAGCAACGATTTCTTCATTCCATCGTTCTACCAGATATCCATAATAGACCTAGCTATAACCCTAGATGCGGCGGAACTTCCAAGACACAAGTCCCGGGGTAACTCACCGTTATTTTGAACAATATTCCAGTCCCACACACCGGTGACCTTAGCTAACACTCGAGATAGTCTCGGGAGCCATTCGCCCAACTCTCGCGCTTCTTCTTCACTCACGTCCGATAATTTTTCGTTGTGGTTACGAGTTGTGACTAGTAGATGTCCGGGGGAAAGGGGCATAATATCGAGAAATGCCATGCATCGAGGTGTGCTGAGGACTACGAACGCGGATGGAGTGGTAAGATCTGGGTTTGCGAGAGATGAGGATGGTGGGTAATTGGATGCGATGCTGCAAAACGCACAAGTCATGATGATTGAGAAGCCCCTACAAAAGGGCTATAATGATGTTATCGTGATATGCATATTGTGTAGACTCGAGTTGATGATGTTCAATTGTGGATGAAAGAGCTTGGGGATGGAATTTATTTTACCGAGGCTATGATACGACTTGCTTCTTTATCGCAGTACTCCCGACAACTTTTTGATTCTTTGATGGCAATCAATTGTTTTATTTATTTCATGATAGTAAATCATCAAAATTGTTCAGATACATCGATTCATGGCGTGGTATACATGATTCAACCCAAAATCTAGAGGCATCACGAGCAACGATGACAAAATGTTGTAAGACATGTTTTCAAAGAGTGCAAAGTGCGAAATGGTCATGAGAAGCTCTATATTCAATTACTTCATGGTATCTCTAAATTATATACAATTAAATCCTTTACTCATCATCGCCGAAGAAGACCTTGATAGGTAACCAAGCATCTCCGCAAACCTTGAATCTATCTTTCAGGTTGTCTAATTTCTCAACTTCCTCACTAGTCAATTCCCAACCATCAAGCTCGTAGTTCTTCTCAACACGTTCCTTGTTGACGGATTTTGGAATGACAGACCATCCCTTTTGGATACCCCAGGCGAGAAGTACTTGTTGTGGAGTCTTGCCCTTTGCTTCTGCGAGAGACAATAAGGTCTGGTCCTTGTACAGAGGCGAGTTTGTGCTACCGAGACAAGAGTAGCCGGTGCTGTGGATACCCTTTGATGTGTTGTATGCAACGAGCTTTGGGGAAGGGTTGTTTGGGTGGAGCTCGATTTGGTTAACAGCTGGAACAATCTATATGATAGTTAGAATGAGGGAGTAATAGGCAAACAATGGGGCTTGGACATACGGTGGTTCCTGGGTCGCTGAGGAGCTTCTCCAAGTTTTTAATACCAAAGTTCGATACACCAATGTTCTTTACTTTGCCAGTGGCAGGGAGCTTTTGCATTTCGTGCCATGTCTTGATAAAGTCCCAGTCAGGGTAGTGCTTCTTCAAGTCATCTGGGTCGGTGGATGATGGCCAATGCATAAGGTATAAGTCGACATAATCGGTACCGAGAGACTTCAAGGAAGAATCAATACCTTCCTGAACTCTCTTGTGCCATGGGTTGTCGAGTTTGGTAGTAAGCCAAATCTCTTCTCTTGGGACACCGGACGCCTTGATACCTTGACCAACTTCTGATTCGTTTCCGTATGCAAGCTAATAATCTGTCAGAGTTCAATCTGATGCCACAATATGCTCATCGACTTACAGCTGTATCAATGTGTCTGTAACCTTTGCGAAGGGCAATCTCTACAGCCTTCTCAACTTCACCTGGTGGTGATTGCCATGTGCCGAGACCAATAGCTGGAATCTTAGCACCAGTGTTGAGGGTGAAGGTCTTTCTGGATAGAGGTATAGTGTGTGAGCTTATGTTACGAATTGGGTTGAAATGGGATGTGACAGTCGCCAGTCTGCGCAGACTTCTGCTTTTGACGTGAATTCCTATCAAGGGGTCGATATGGAAGTACTTACGAGGTAACGTTATTTGCAGACATTTTTGCGGTTTGTAGGTTTGTAAGATGTTTTGAGTGTAAAATAGAGGGAATAAGAGAAGTAAGACAAGAAATTGGGAGGACAAAACGAATACTTATACCTTTACTTGACCCAGAAAGCCGTGCATGAGGATTATTTGATACCGCATGACGACAACCTATAGAATTTCCACATAATACTTTACCTCCGGGTTATCTCTATTCCATATGAAGCAGTTCAACCTGTCGATACGTGAAATCCAAAGATAATCCGCTGCACGATGAGGGGCTCTGGTAGAAGGTTCTCTGTCGCTGAGTGGAGCATGGAGGGGCAATCCCACTTCAGGCTATATTGAACCGAAGGAAGATTGACATGCGCGCCAATCATGTTTAGCACCGCCGTTTGAGAGCATTCCTAGTAATTTCCTACGTCAGAATCCCCCATCATAGCTTGAAGAAACTTCCCAATTCACATATTTGAGAGGCAAAAAATTGGATTCCGTACAGCATTTGTATGACAAAAGATGGATCTAGCTTGGATTGGAGGAAAGACTTTAGCCTAAATGCTATATTGACTTCTAGAACCTCACGAATCCAAATCAATTCAGAAACTTGTAGAGTTCCGTCCTAAAGTGTGAAATTGCTCCGTAGCGGGGGAGAAGGCGGGGAGTGGAAATATCACACACGTGATGTCGAGAAACCTTGTCGGCGCAATCTCACGAACCTTAGAAACTAGAAACTAGAAACTAGACGCCTCGGTACCATTCGTGCGCATACAACCAAAACCAAAATGTCCTCCGGATTTGTATCAGGTGGTACCGCAGATGCTCCAACTGAGCGCAGTGATGAATGGTTAGCCGCTCAACAAGAAATAGAGGCTAACAGACAACGAAAAGCTATCGAAGCTAGACAACAAGATGGAAAGAGCTTGTTCGAGATCCTAGAAGCAAATAAAGGTACACATCTAGGGTCCTTGCACCCGCCCACGCGTTGATTTCGTAGGCTGATCACTTAGGGGTGCGTTGAATAAACCAGCTGCCAAACAAGATGCATTCGAAGAAGCCAATAAACTCAAGAATCAATTCCGATCATTAGATGAAGATGAAATCGAGTTCTTGGATTCTGTTCTGGAAAGTACGAGGGCTGAAGAAGATAGAGTGCGAAAAGAAACTGCGGAGGGACTAGAGCTATTTAGAAAACAACAAGAAGATGCAGACAAGAAGGCGAGAGCAGCAGATAATGATGGAGCACAAACACAAGATGGTTCGCCGGTGCGGGGGGATGAATGGGGCACTACGGGTCGAAAGCGCAAGCGTACGAAGGATAAGGAGGTATTGAAGGGAGTCAAAGTTAGGAGAGCTTCATCTTCCGCAGAACAAGCTTCTTCCTCCACATCTACCAAAGACCTGTCAACGAAACCTGCGAAAGACGATTCTGACTCAATTGCAACGAGTACTAAGCCATCGACTTCTAAAGATTCAGCCAAAACCTTGGACCCAAAGCCTGCAAAGGTAGCACCCAAGCCGGTAGCAGTCAAGAAGCCATCACCTCCACCATTTAACAAAGGACTAGGACTGGTAGATTATGGATCTGACGAGGATTCTGACTGAGTGCTGTGAGGAATGTCTATGGGGAGTTTGGAGTGGGCAAATACAAGTATAATCGAAGAGAGAGAAATCTTGAGTGAGCCGGAGATTATCACGAAACTTGCAGAATAATGTAGTAGGTGAAACAATTTCCAAAAGACGCTATGCTTGATCATGTTAATTCATGATGCGCATGTCAAATTATTACAAGATATAGGTATCTACAGACAAAGAAGTGCTATGTACTTGCTCACAAGAGCTCTATAAATGCATCCTTTCCTCTTCAATAACCTTCAGATAGTGCTTCGAATGGAAACAAAGCTTTTCACAGCTTGAACCTGGCGAGGTTCAAAACCATTTCTCTACCAGTAACCCAAGTTGTTCTCCACAAAGTTGGGAAATCCAAAGTACTGGTAAGACCATCGGCAAATCCAAAACCCAACATAGGTGGGATCCAACCTCTAGCATACTCAAGAGCGAAACAAGCCGCATCCATCTTGTACTGCTTGACAGTACCACGACGAAGATGGTGAACACTTCCTTGGGGATAGACTTCAGGTTCAAAGTCTCCAGGGGTGTAGGCGAGTTGAGTTCCGTGAATGATATGGAAATAATCATCAGCTGTGTGACGACCGGTATGTCCTTCAGTACCGATTGTAGTTCCTATGCACAGTCAGTATCCCCACTCAGACTCTGAATCTACCCATTGGTGAACAAACCAAAGATAATCAAATATTCCGTAATACCTGTAAAGCGAATTAGCACACTCGTCTCCTCAAACGATCCCAACCTTAGACCCGTGACCTCATTGGGAACTTACTAGCATGAATAATATACATAGCACCCATAGCCCCGCCAGCGTTATTAAAAATCCATTCCTGATCCAGATTGATGTAACCACCGGGATGTTTCTCGCTCAATTCATCCACAATGAACTTCACAACCTGAGCGGTATCATTACCGTGAGCACCAATGGCGCGCTGCGAGAGATCATGAAGTTGAGTCGGTGTGAAGATGTAGAAGGACTCGAGACGTGCATCTAAAAAGTAGTAGAGAGCAGTGAGGAGACCAAAGATGGCTCCGTAGGTGAGGAGCTTCATGATGGGAATTTGTGAATTGAATGAATGTATGTTTCACTTCTTGTGAAGAATCAAAAGGAATGTTTACTCTTATGTCGGTCTGGCAATAAATTTGACAATTTCGCAAGCCAGGTACGAAGATTTAATGTGGATCTGGTAACCAATCGGCTTCTCGAGTGAGTGATAGCTGGCAGGGCAGTTAGGGGTTATTCTAGAAGAACGGCTAGGACGGGAACAGGGGAAGCTCCGGAAGCTTGGGAAGAATTTCTGATAGAAAAGTCGAGAGCGTTTGCAAGTCAGATAAGAAGATATTGGTCAAGTAAGATATTATTAGTATTAATATAAATCTGCATCCGATTCTCTGTTTTCTCTGTTTTATACCAACACCGATACTGGTAGCCAATATTATGAACTTTACCTCACGAGAACAATCATACTCAAGTTGCCTATGCTTCACTTCCAGCCTAATCAGTCTGATTCTGACTCTCCATGGTCCTCATCATCTGCTTTCTTCTTCGATTTCTTGAAATGTTCCTTTCCATCCGGAATATAAGCTTCGACCTCTTGACCGTCAAATTTTCGCCCATTCATCAACTTAACGCATGCTTTCGCTGATTCCGCGTTTGCAAATCTTACACTCGCAACTCCATCTTGCTCCAAATCGTACAGAACCACATTCGTTACCGCGCCGAGCTTGCCACACTCATCTCGAATGTCTTCCTTGATATCCAGCATTGCAGCTGGATCCTCTTCTAGCTCCTTCAAAGTGAACATATGTTTCAATATAACGACTTTATCCCACTTCGAGCTGGTTTCCACAAGGGCTGATGGCTCGTCATCGCTCCAATCTGCCAGTCGCGCATCTAATTTCTGCGTCTTTTTGATAATCTTCTGCTTATCCTTCATACTGGTCTTGGGTTTCTCTTTCTCATTTCCATCTGCGTCTGTTTGTTGAACCTTCTTGTAGCTCGCCTCTGCAGCCTGAACCCGCATCTTGATTCTCTCTTTAGATGTGCCTCCATCTATCCTAAAATCCGTATCATCCAGTAACATTATCGCCATCTGCACAGATGGTGCCTTGAAAAATACGATAAGAGCATCGCCCTTGAATTCTCCTTTCTCGTCTGTGTAAAGCTTAATTCTCGGTTTTCCGCTGTCGATCTCTTCGGCGATAACACCGCACTTTCGTGAAAAGACTTCGTGAACTTCCTCGACAGTAACATCGGATGGCAGACCAGTAACATAAACTGCGGTGTTTGCTCGTGGTGGTAGAGGTTTTTTGGTTTTCTTTGGGGCTTTTACCATTCGGCCACCCTCCTAGGTAGACTCAGCATCGAAGATAATGAATGAAATAAAGAGGCAGATAATTGCATAAGCTCCAGCTAGGTATCGCATACCAAACTAAGATAAGTAGATACAAAATGCTGTAAAAAGCTGGTAGAACGGGTGCACAATCAAAAATCTATCTCGAATATGAAGCCTAAAATTGACTTACATCCTCGCCATTGACATACTCCTGCTTCCTTTTCCTCTTTATAGCATCAACTGGCTCACTCTCATCTACTCCAGATACTTTGTATGCTTTCTGCTGTTCTTCCAGTAATGCCTCATCTAACACCGGTATCCATCGTTTGATCGCATCATCGAATTCAAATTCTGTACCATCGTCTTGCACGAGCAGGTATTTCTGGTCGAGCTTCGAAAATGATATGCGATCGTCGGAATCAAATTCTTCGGGGTTGGTAGGAAATGGAGCAGTTGCGCCTTCGATATTTTGTCTTTGCTCCATGGTTGGTACGATCTGTGGTGTTTTGTTTATGGGACAGCTCGGGTGGGGGTTGATGTGGTGATAGTCGCAACCTGGAAGTCTTGAGAGTCGAAGCTCGGTGAAAGTTTCGCGAAGCGATTTGATCTATGGGCTTTCTTCGCATCAATACGTAGATTAACAACAAAAATTTCAAAATTGATCTAAGACTATCATTTTTGAAGCCATGGACTTTCTGATGAAAGAACTTGTTAATTGAATGGTCACTAATTGCAGTTAGTCTGCGACGCTGCCTTGCTGTAACCTGATGAGCGTGGAGCGCCTCAACATAGTCCCAAATCCGGCATGTTTTAGTACGAAATAAACTTCTCCCATTGGCAAGGTTGTCAGTGACAATTACGTCGTCGATTACAGTAGTCTAGATACTTTCAGGCTCTATAGAGTGATCACGAAGGAGGTGGTGAGGTAGTGAACTCTCCACCAACAAAGGGATATCCGCTGCCATCGTTCGGATGAACCATTGGAAAGCGATTCTGGTATGGGCAGCAAGCATCTACTCCTATTCCAATTCCAAACAATTCCTTCTCACTTGAAATCTTGAAAAGGATAATCAATATCACCTGCATCAAAAGCAAAGATTGGCATCTTGATTCCGACTCATATTTGGGTTGACAGAGGTAACCACTCTTCCAGCGATGACCTTACATGCCTAGATCTTAGCATGCACCTCTTTGCTGAAGCGAATGAGGCTGATATTCATCCTCTCTAATTGCGCTTTATTAAGGAAAAACGCATAGTTTCCATTACCAATTCGTTCATCAGAGCGAACGTCAGGGGTTTCAATGGCTAAAAATCTATGTTCTAACGTATATATTCAGAGCAGCCTTCCCAAGGGGTCGATTCTGACACCAATACTTATCAGAGATGTTCCAAACTGGTAGACTGGATGCAAGCTCTCAATGTTTGGAAGTAGTGCATTGTTCAAAGTGGATTCGACATTTTCAAACCATTCGAATCATCTAAGTAGATTAGACATTGAAAGGTTCTGATTATCGAACTGCAGACTGGATCAATCAAGAGTTTGGCAAAATATACTCCATGCACATGATTTCTTTCAGTATAAAATTTCATAGCATGTCTCAAGCCTATCTGATTCAGTTTATCACACAACTACAATGTTGGTAGCTGTTAGAGTAAATTCACTCGGATCTCGAAACTCACCTTTATCCTCATTGTCTCGCTTAATTCCGAAGTGAGTGGGTATTTAAGTATGCTTTCGACGTTGTGATCATATCTTCTTTCTTCAACTTCCACATCTTCTACGAATGTCGATCTTGCTTTCAATTTGCTTTGCTCTCCGGTCACAAAGACAATAGTCTGATTGGAAATTCCGACCTTCCACAATCTTCCAGTTGCTGTATGTACTACGGCATCGCCTATTCTTACCTCGGAAATTTCACTTCGCTCACGATCTGACGGTAACAACTATCTTCTAGCACTGTCCGTTGCCGCCTCTACCTTTTCTTGAAGTAGGCACATGAGAGATCGCTTCTATCCATCAATTTATCTCTTTGGGATTGTCTTTTGCTGCCGGCACTCAGTTCGACCTAATCCCAACCCACGTCTTGGTACACGATCAATTAACTACACTATGTCCTCAATTAATATCAAGCGGTCTGGATCTGACAAGTATGTTGTCTCTCTCCCCTGTCGCGTTTATTCCTACCTGTTCTATTTTGTCTTCTGCATCTAACGTCACACATATAGTTTGGATGCGCCTCCAGCAAAAAAGTCGCTCATAATCAAATTTCCGGTTGCACATATGAGCATCGTGGATGCAGTTGATATAGCAGCCAGATACAACAAAACTTTGTTTGCCAAACATAGCCAGGAAGAATCTTGGAAAGCTCGCATGAGTATCTTGTCTGCTTTTTCCGCCAAATATAAAAAGTTGGTAGGTAAATCTTCTATCTGTAGCAGATTAAAAGGAATTTTGGTTGAGCCTCTCTGACTAATCGTAGGATAAGGTGATTAAAGCTCAAGACTTGGCCATTGAACAGTCCAAAGCCGTGATTGCTGTGCTGGACCGGTTGATTCAAAATTTTGATACTCTTCCTTCTAGGAGGATTTGTGAGCTTCTTTCTGGAAGTTTTGTGGAAATTACTCCGGGAAGAGCCATAGAAACACTTGCAACTATTCAACAGTCGTTCAACGCAGTCAATATCGATGAGCAATGTGCCCAGAAACAGATTATAAAGAATGCCGAAAAGACAAGAGTGGTCGCCAACGCAGCTAAGATGATGCTAGCGGATCGCGAGAAGCGTTATTTGCTTCCTTATTTTGTTACGCCTATTGCCTCAAGGGGATGTGGTGTAGAAATCGGTAACTATACTGGTCTTGCGGCAACTCAACGAACCACGCGAACTTGGGCTGCAAAGTTTGCAATGGAGGAGATGTTTAGGGTCGGTGAGATTGATCGCTGGTGGGAGGCTGATACCGCTGAAGTATCTGGGGTAATGGCGATAGACATTGGCTCTCTTTTCTAAGGCTTTCGAGGGGTTTAGTTAAAGTTTAAGATTCGTCAAATCACTGTCTATATGTCGTTCACTTGCTTCTCTACAGTATAATAATCTGCGCTCCGCTTGGCAATAATCAAAGCACGCTGCTAATTAGTCTTCAAAGAATTTCAATTCGAAGCCAATCTACACAGTGCAATATTCCTACTGCATTGGTGATGAAAATACTTATTACACCAACATTCATCGGCCGCCGCTTCCCTCTCGGGTCGCACCTGATATATTCTTACTCAAAATACCCGAAGTACACTCGATCATGTATTCGTTGTAGTCTCTTGTGATCTACCGGCTTCTCAAGCAAATTCACCTTTCAGATGCAGGTCCAGTGCTACAGCCAAATTTACTAAAAGAGACCAGCTACGCAACACCTGTGTGTGTTCTAGTTCATTGACATCAGACTTGATATTGTTGGCATCTATTACATTCGAGATTAATGGCTTTGGATAAAGAAGGCAGCAATATGCGGTCAATGGAGCCTTTTAGGACCAATCTGTTCATATATGTTTCAGTTTCACTTATGTATATCTAATTGCCCCATTATTCAAAAAGAATCTCTTCAGGTATGAACTTAATAAAACGTTCCAAAAAGATAAAGGCTTGAAAGTGAAGCTTGAAGGAAATGGGAGGTCACAAAGCACTCTAGTATTGTCATATTCACTACTTATTTGCTCTCGATATCTCGCTTAAAGTTTGAGAGAGGTCTATTCAAGAAATCTCTTCCCTTCCCTTCCAATTTCGTATTGTCTTTTAAACCATTCTCGATCACTTTTTACACCGAGAAACAATATCCTCGAGTCCTTCCACTATCCACACCCAATAAGTCTTTCTGATCTACTTCCCCATCTCGAAAATTCTTGATCATTAATTTCGAGCTGGCTGGCCTTGTTTCGTATCCCGATCTACTTTTCTGAATCATCAACGTCAAGCCGCACCACAAAGTCATTAGTCTCAAAGCGCACCATTAACTATGTTATCTCCTGCATCAACAGGCTCCAATGGCTCTAGTAGGTATGAATCTCCAGCTTATTTTTTACTTGTCGACGCTTGTTAAGCACTTCCCCTACTTAATTCACTTTGGTTGAACGTTGACTGACCTTGTATAGTATTAAAATGCTCTCAAAAGACCCCGAGCGATACAAGGCGCAAGGAATGGCTGATCTCGCTACTCATGTCAACAATTACAAAGGACCATGTCGTCTATTTGACAACTTCGATCTTGAGATCATGGCTAAGGCTTTCCGGAACGTCCTAAGGGCGGACCTCCAGCGTGTGGTATGTTTGTGACGGCAAATCTGCGATGTATCCCATCTTTATTTGATGTGTAAACTGAGAATTTTCAGACAGAGCAGAAAGCACTTAAAGAAGGTGTTCTTCATGTGATCCAAAACTTTGAGTATCCAGAAGATTGGTATATCGTCCCAATGATATTTGAGAAAATGAAACCAAGCAATCACAGACCCTTTGCCGATATTATCGGTGATATGGTCAAGACTGGCAGTATCCGCATTACCGACGCTGCTGACCTTACGGTGGAAGAGGTTCTCGATGTAAAATATCCCATTACATTCTCCGTGTTTTATATGCGACTAATCAACATGTAGTGGGAAGCTAAGAACCAAGATACTAGAGCAGACAGCGTATGACAACGTGGAAGAGAATCGATGAATTTCAACTTAGGTCGTTCTCGTTGAGTCGCTCTCTGTCTTGAAAGGCATCCGATTTTTATTTACCGCGGATCTTTAATCTCATCGTCGCTAAATGCGTTGCTAGTCACATTCAAAAGTTTCAACAGAACTATTATTCCTATTTTTATATTTCATCCTGGGCTGCTGCTATCGAGGGTGTGTTCATTCAGGCGTAGCCTTTGGGCTGATCACTCGGCGCTTGTTTCTGATGCTGCTGAATGCAAAATCTTTGCCCAAAGACTGGTTATACTTTATCGAGTGCAAAGAAGAGAGCAAAGATGCAGGTTGTTACAGCAGTATACTTGAGATTCTTGCACATACCATTGATGTCCATTTTCATAGCCAAATTTAGCAACTTAACTTTCATGCTGATAACCATGTGATATAAATTATCTGATATTTAACATACTGTGGCCGTAGACATATCTTAAACCGGACGCATGCCCTCGGGCGGAGGTCAGGTACATGTTTCTACATCCGTCTCGAGATCAATACATGGCTCTACGATCATAGTTAGTCGCTTATCATACTATGGCAAGCATGGCTTTATGCGGAAGAAATCATCTACAATTTCGAATCTTACAACTCTAGCGAGTATATCAGGGCACAATCAGCAGGTGTGACTGGTCACTAAGTTTCTTCTCATTCTCTGCCAGCAGGGCGACAGGTATCTGATATTTTAAACTCCTCCTGTCTAAGTAACGACCCAATTTAGAATAAGACGTCGTATAGCTCGTAGACTCTATTATAGACGTGGTCGACTTGCCTTGGCTAAATATAATATGAAGAATAAGCAAAAGATTATCAAAAGACTTAGAAATTAAATACGCGACCGGCAGATTTGATGAAAATTCTCCAAATCCTGATGATTTGATTGGTCAGTATGATTCTGTATAAGCGAGGAGTCCTAAGTTAACAGTCTAGGGGATATATCAGATTCTATTAAAGATCTAATATATCTTTCCTCTTCCTCTTCCTCTTCTCCTTGATATTACTATATTATCTATTCTAATTAAAACAGCGATTTGGTTTAAAGGCAGGCTTTGATATGAAGAAGAATATGATTATAAGTAAAGGATAGATATCGAACTGAGTATTTGAAGAGAGATTGTATATTTTGAGGGGTTGTAAATAAGAAGAGAAAGAGAGAGAAGGATTTATCAAGATAAATTGTAAGAAAAGTGAATTATTATGTATGAAAAGAGGGGAAAATAGAAGCTAATTCTTACTTCAAAAGTTTTGTTGTATATCTAAGCCAGACCATATTAGCGACAGCGAGGTTTACCATTTGAGAACCTTCAGAAACCTAAAAATCACTTTGTGGATCGAGATTCAGAAACTTTGATGATTGAGTTTATAGAAATGAGTGATTCAATTAAGAAGACTTGTTCTATATTTCAATACTTGAAAATGCAAGCAGATGGTATATATGTTGAAGATTCTGCCGCTTCTCCAACAACAAAAACATCTTTGATGGTCTAACGGTCATGATTTCCGCTTGTCATCATCTGGCAATGCGCGGGAGACCGGGGTTCGACTCCCCGTCAGAGAGTTCTGATCTCATGCGAGTATTTTTGCATTTTTGACACTTTTGATAATTTGATATTTTTTCTCTCGAAGTTTTGGGTGCGAATATACTTACGTTGGTGCGTGGACTAAGTTAAGTTATGTTACACCGCTTTTGTTTTGCCAGCAATAATATCATTCTGCCTACCCAAAGTGATCCTGCTAGCGAAGGCGGTGTAACATAACTTATTCCATGCACCAGTGTATACGGAGTATTATATCAATGTTAGCAGGACAGGAAGGTTCGTTGCATGAATTTAGTTTGAAGATCAGACTGATTGTGAGATAAACCATAGTACCAAACAAACACAAATCCAGCAGTCAAACTATTATACTTTCACCAAGTAGATGTCATCCGACTTTGCAGGCTTCCCTCAAATGGGACAAACTACATCCCAATGAAAACACATTCTCGAATTCTATCAAACACTTGTCACTACTGGACTGATGGGGGGAGTTATAATACATAGTTCCCAAAAACTAAGAGTTTAGATTAAACTTCTTATTTACTCACTTGAGCAAAATCACATAAGTACAAAAATCAACCCCCACGAAGCCCACAAGAGACCCCGCCTCTTGTGGGCTCTATGATCCACAGTTGAAGTAGATTAACATGAGTTAAATATGCTTTATCCAAACTTGTTAGGTAGCTAACAGGCTCGTTCATGTGGAAGGTTGGATTAGATCATTCAAATACAAGGCCATCGAACAAAGGTTGTGTTGGCTTGTGAAGGCCTTGCTCAAAAACAAATGATAAATATATTGAAGTCTTTAACTTTTGATAGCTAGATGCAGTGTGCACGGGCCATATTATAGGTCATTAGATCACAACCCACAACTTGTTATTGCAATTTTTGGCAAAAGTTATTTCGACTGTCCCAGGAGCATTATTAGGGACATAGGAAATTTGTAAAGAGAGGATTTGAGACTCAAAAATTCAAAAATTAAGCTAGCAAGTCCCAGTTTCGATCTGGGGACCTCCGGGTTATGAGCCCGGCGCGCTTCCACTGCGCCAACTTGCTTGATGCTTGTTGCTTGATTGTTGTAAATGGTTGACCATTTTGACAATATAAATCTGCTCGCTAATATAAGCCACAATCATGCCCTACCCGACCACCTATTCATAGTTAATCTTTGATATCCAAATCAACCTCGGAACCTTTTAAAACATGTCAAACTTGGACCCCTCTATTGCTCAAAATGCAATTAGACAGCAAGCTATTACAGTTTTCTCTTTTTCTTAGCTATCGCTAAATATTGTCTAAGATACATTATACTCTGCCGAGAGCATGATACCTTTCGAGCATCTCATGAATCTCTACTGGCAAGAAACAAAACATAGAATGGAATAATCGTATCATAGTATAACCATATTTCAACCACACAATTAGATACTTGATTTACACCTGCACAATCATGGCACCACCAGCACTAACAATACGGAATCTCTCTACGACTCCACTCGAATTGAAATCACTGGAACGATTTGAATCTGCAGAAGGGAAAGCTAGCGGGGTAAATATCACCAGAATAACCAGAAGTCTCACTGGGTTCATGTACCTTAACAGCACTCCAACCTCACCACAATTAGCAGAAAAAGCCGAAAGCTTCAGTCGTCAGGATGTTTCAATACCAATTGCTCCTTTTGAAACCAAAGTTACAGATATAGAACCCCAAGGAAACCAAGTCCTGCGATTAACATTCGAGACAAATGGCGAACGATATCGAATTGATACCCCAACCCCATTGCACCGCTCAACCGTTCTCACACCTCTCTCGCACAATCCCACCTACGAATTCACAGGTGTATATCTACCTAAATACCATTTTCTCGCAATCTTCTCCTCGGCCAAATTAGCATCATGGATGTCCAATCTCAAAGACGAAACTCCCTTAGCCGCTCTCAGTATACCCGGTACCCATAATTCCCCAACGTACCACGCCGCATTACCTTCCGTACGCTGTCAAGCTGTCAGCGTAAAGGAGCAACTCAATAATGGAATTCGTTTCCTCGATATACGAGTTCAGCCACAGGATCCCAATGATCCTGCTGCAGAGGGTCTAATTCTCGTCCATAGCGCTTTTCCAGTTTCCCTTACGGGCCACAAGTACTTTCGAGATTTGGTCAACCATGTGAAAGTATTTCTGGATGCGAATCCTACGGAAACAGTTATAATGTCTATAAAAAGAGAAGGTATTGGAAAGGCTACGGATCAACAACTTAGTCAAATTCTCAACCATCATTACACTCAGGATTCTACTCGCTGGTTCACAGGCAATCGCATTCCAGCTCTAGGAGAGGTTCGCGGGAAGATTGTTGTCATACGTCGCTTCGGCTTAGACGACTCCTTAAAAGGCGAGAACAATGGAACAGGTCTATATATCGACGCGGAAAGTTGGCCAGACAACTGTGCAGATGGTGTGTGTACTAGTGGAGAAATCCGAGTACAAGACTTCTACGAGGTTGCGGAGTCTTCAAATATCGAGAAGAAGATTGGATATTCCACAGATCAACTCGAAAGAGCTGCTAAAACCGTTGCAGTGCTGTCTGAAGATATGGGTGTTGCCAGCGCTGAATCGGCAAAACAACCATTCTTCATGAATTTCTTGAGTGCCTCGAACTTTTGGAGAGCGAACTGTTGGCCAGACAAGATTGCAGAAAAGGTTAATCCCGTGATCGTTGATTATCTATGCAGAAGGCATAGTGAAACAACTTCCAGTGAGCAGCCAGATAGTGCAAGTGTAGGTGATGGTAGTACGGGAATTGTGGTTTGTGATTGGGTCGGAACAGATGGGGACTGGGACTTGGTGAGGTGTATCTTGGCAATGAATGCAAAGCTGGAGCTTAGAGAGAAAGATCGCCCTTCAGATCCTCCTTCATAGATGAGGAATAGACCAGAAATGGTTATGATTTCAAGATTTACGATGCAAATGGTCCTTGAAACAGTATTCCGTTTCTGCAGATATAATACATTCCGTTACATGCTTATTCATTATTTGATTGGATTTACTCCTTAGGAGTTTCCTCAGAAGGCCCCTTTGCCTCATCTTCCAGCATCGACCTTCTACCTTCAACGGTGAAGTATAGACTCTTTCCAGCGCTCTCCAAAGTATTTGTAATTCCACCACCAATACCTTGTAACATGGCCACCAACTGGCCTCGTAAACCGTCCAGACCGCCCTCAATGCTTCCAACCCATTTGGTACCATCAACGTCGAACACCTTACCCTCTACTCTCGCTCCTAGTAACAATAACTTTTGTAACCCACTTTGAACTGTAGGATCATGCCACCCTGGATTCGCCCTCTTTTTAGGAGCAGGGAACAATGGAGCGCTAGGTGACAAAATGGTCAAAGCCGTCTTCATATGTTGCGGCGAGACACCAGGGAACGTTAGAAGTACAACTGGGCCAGCCAATAACGGTGAAAGATCATGGGCATTCCTAATTTTCCTATCCGAAATAGCTTCATGAGCCGCGCTCGAAAGAGTATGTGTCAACCCATCACCCTTTGCATTTACAATTGGTAAAGTCGCAGAAGAAGGAGTTGCTGGATCTGTGGGATCTAACTTTGAAACTTGGGAATCGGGTTTATAGAATTCGACGATGCGGAGAGCGGCGGCGAGAATTCCTGTTTGTACGATTTCGAGTTTGATACCATCTGCGAGATTGAGGTGGGGCTGGCCTTCTGCCTCGCGGGCTGCATCAACTTTGCGGAGGGCAATAGCGAGTTCGCGACGGATGGCCGACCACTCCATAGCTTTGAGGTTATTGTGTTGGAAGAGGAGCATGAGGGGTGTTGAGCGAAGTAGCGAAGCATATTTTCTGAGGAGTTGAGATTTGCGGAACTCGGGAGGTTTGTAGGATGGTGGTTGGGTGGAGGGAAAGCGAGATATGGGAGGAGATGCTTTGGTCATTTGCTCGTGCGAAGCAGCTGGCGTGAACGCTGCTGCCGCGGTGGCATATGGTCGATTTCGGAGGGGAGTCCTTTTACATCGGAGGATGGAGGCTATTGCCTTTGACGGCGTATGTATTCGTGGACGCATTCTATGAGTATCGATTAGTCTAAGCAATCGCCAGTATCATTTATGTGACACAATTGGCTGTACATACCTGTGAAAAAGACTTGTTGGACAAATGTATGCGGGCATATAATTTAGATGGACGAGCTTGAGAAATTCTAAAGAGGACTAGCGCGTTTCTTCTTGTTGCCTTAAGTCTAAGGCCAACGATGAAAGTTCATTGTGGTGACTCAAAATCAAAGGGTATCTACCTTAGCCGGGACCCGAGTGTTACAAAGAATATTAAAAGGGTATCAAGGAGAGTATTTGACTTCTTGTGACAGTCACATTGAGTTTCAGAAGTCTTTGATAAAATAAAAACGCAGTCATGGCTGCTCCAACGGAGCACAATGCATATGCACCTTCCCCTAGGGACATTTCGATCACGCCCCTACTCAAACGACTGTGGCCTTCTCCTGGAGAGAATAATGTCACGGCATCAGAGGTTGCTTCAGCAATCTCACACATTTTTACGGATTCATTATCTCCAGTCCAAACAGGTGCTTTACTCACATGTTTACATTTTACTGGATGGGATCGAAAAGCAGATGTTCTTGCAAAATGCGCTGAAGCTATGAGAGAAGCTGCTTCACCAGTTGACAAAGAAGCTCTAGACAAAGTTGTCGCAGCTGTTGGAAGATCAGAAGGTGGCTACAAGGGAGGCTTGGTATGTTGTCACAAAAAGTTATGTTGAAATCGATTTGGAATCATTTTCTGATGTATGTTTAGTGCGATATTGTTGGTACTGGAGGAGATTCGCATCACACTTTCAACATTTCAACCACATCCTCTATTTTGGCTTCATCTTTATTGCTTCTGAGTAAGCATGGAAATAGAGCATCGACTTCGAAATCAGGATCAGCAGATCTCCTCAGCTGTACTTTACCTTCGGCACCAAATTTATCAGCGGTGACACCTGAAACTATCACTAAAGTTTACGAAAAAAGTAATTACGCTTTTCTTTTCGCACCAGTTTTCCATCCTGGTATGAAGTATGTTGCTCCTATCCGAAGGGAGCTCGGTTGGAGAACAATCTTCAACCTGATGGGCCCCCTTGCCAACCCCGTTGAATGCAGCATTGAAGCCCGACTTTTGGGAGTTGCTCGACGAGATATTGGGCCTGTCTTTGCAGATGCCCTCAAGATGAGCGGTGCCAAAAAGGCCATGGTTGTTTGTGGAGAAGAAGACCTCGATGAAATCAGTTGTGCAGGACGGACATTCTGCTGGAGATTAATGGAATCTTCTGATGATGATGTCAAAATTGAGAGCTTTACAATTTGTGCTGCTGATTTTGGACTTCCATCACATGACCTGAAGGACGTTTCACCAGGGAAGGAACCTCATGAGAATGCCGCAATTTTAATGAACCTACTTCAAAACAAACTGCCCGAAGATGATCCAATTCTGGAATTTGTTCTCATGAACACTGCAGCCTTGTTTGTCGTCTCGGGTATTTGTGATGCAGATACTAGTGATATGGGCCATGGGGATGATGGAAAGGTTATCACTGAGAGGGGACCTGGTGGAGGAAGATGGAAGGAAGGTGTAAGAAGAGCTCGATGGGCTATTAAGAGTGGCGAGGCCTACAGACAATGGAGACAATTTGTCGAAGTTACCAAGACATTTTAGATCTGAAAGACCAAATTTGACAGATATCTTTGGACAAGATCAATGTTATGTATGATTATGATATATGCACGGCGGTTGGACTGAACTGGCAGGTATTGGGAAATAAAAAAATGGGATGGCAAAGTTCTTGATATACCTACTCGACCATTCACTTCAAACATATTAAAAATGGGCATGAAAATAGTTCTGGAATATGATGTTAGTTGTTGGGATCTACAACAATGGATCCACAAATGTGCAAGTTGACTACCTGGTACTATTAGTAATCTCGTAACTTCCCCATTTTATCAATACCTAGGGAGCTACTCGTAGAGGCTAGGTACTGATGGTAATGTGACTCGGGTGTCAACGGCATTCCGAACAATCTCCATTATGACACATTTCTTCGCTTCCTAGTCTGTTCGTCAAGCCAGAAGCCAAATGATTGGGGGAAAATATATCTTCTTATGGAAATTTAGCAATTTAGATAGGGGAGGGACTCGAGAGGGGGGTAATTTTATTGCTGTTTTTAGTAATTAAATCGACACTTGACGCCCTTGTTAAACTTGTTGTCTGTCACTGGCCCGAAGTCGGTCTCAATTCAAATCTGTCTAGAAATATCCAGGCAAGTAGGTGCGAAGGCAGGTAGGAGGTATCCACAAGTATCATAAGTTCAAGCTTTGTTTCTTAGTCTACCTCGAGTCTACCTAGTAAGATACATCAATCATTTAAGTACATCTTGGCTCGAAGTCCGTTTGCTTCGACTAATTGAAAATACTTGTTTTCTTCTACAAAGTCTAGTCATCGTAGTATCCCTCCTATGAAATATCTTCTTCCTTACCTTCGACAATCCAGAAGTCTTATCGGAAGCAATCTACGTCCAATCTCATCATCTTCATTAAGGAGGGGCAGCTATTTACCCCACCACAAAATACCTCTTAACTTTCACCCCTCCATTCTTTCTTGTCCTACTCAACCATCTTCCATTTTCACAATGAGTAAACCTCAGATTCTTTTGTTAGGCGAGATTGACCAGTAAGCCACATTGCAGTTTCCCATCAGAGAGTCCTTTCTAATTGAGATATCCTTTTAATAGTGCCAAAAAGGAATGGAGCGAACTTTCCAACATTGGTGAACTCATCGAATCCAAGGCACGATCCCGTCAAGAATTCATAGAAGAGTGTAAAAATGGCGTCTACGATAAAGTCGTGGCTGTATACAGAACTTTCACCAGTGTCGCTATTACAGGTTTGATTGATGAAGAATTAATCAGTGCACTGCCAAAGGGTTTGAAGTTCATTGCTCACAATGGTAATAAAAAGAATCTTTGAATCCTAGAGAAACTGGCGAGGCTAATACGTGGTCTTAGGAGCTGGATATGACCAAATTGATGTACATGCATGCACTAAACACGATATCCGTGTTTCTAATGTTCCAACTGCCGTTGATGATGCTACTGCCGATACCAATATGTTTCTCATTTTGGGAGCACTGAGAGGATTCAATACCTGTTCGTATTTAACCTGACCACACCCAGAATATTATTATTAACATCCGATAGCAATGATGGCTCTACGAAAGAACCACTGGAAGGGCTCCCCAGCACCACCTCTTGGTCACGACCCTCAAGGAAAAGTTCTCGGTATCTTAGGAATGGGTGGTATCGGACGAAACCTCATGAAGAAGGCAACTGCTTTCGGCATGTCTGTTCAATATCACAACCGTACAAAGCTTTCGGAAGAATTGAGTGGAGGTGCTAAATACGTTAGCTTCGATGAGTTGTTGGCCACCAGTGATGTTTTGTCCTTGAATTTACCTTTGAACGTAAGTTTCACTTCAAGCACCACTCAAAGGTTCCCTGTTGATAAAATCATAGAAAAACACTCGTCACATTATCTCTACCGAGGAATTCAAGAAGATGAAGAAGGGTGTCGTTATCACCAATACCGCTAGAGGTGCAGTCATGAACGAAGATGCTCTAGTAAAGGCACTTGAATCTGGCCAAGTTTGGTCAGCAGGACTAGACGTTTTCGAAGAGGAGCCAAAGGTTCATCAAGGATTGATTGATAACCCACATGTCATGTTGGTACCACACATGGGAACAGTAAGTTACAGGTCCTCCTTATTCGAGTTTAAAATCACATTGAAACTAACATTTTGTCAAAAGTGGACTGTGGAGACTCAAACCAAGATGGAGGTCTGGTGTATTGATAACGTAAGAAGCGCCATCGAGAAGGGTAAGTTGATGAGCCCAGTAGGAGAGCAAAAGGATATGTAGATATGAAGTAGAGGAGGTAAAATAGAATTTTGGGACTGTAACCTTCGAAATTTTGATTTAAAGTGTTCACTGGGTCGATATACTCGGTCCATTGCAATTTCAACTTTGAGCGGTATCGGCTCCAATCATTTGGTAGGCTTTCATTGACTTCTTGATTGATCTCATTGCTTTCTACATATAGACAGTACTTTTACAAGTCTATTAAACTCTTTCAATTCCTGATTCTCGTCTACGTTCACTGGGGACTGACCTGCTGTGGCGATCCTGGGGTGAGCTCCTCTGCCTTAAGCTCTGAATGTATTTACTGCGGGATATTGGGAAACATGATACAATGGAATTTGTGTAAGTATTAGGCACAGAAAGGGCTTCTCCCGCCTCCCTACTAACGCAAGTGCGTACCTGAAATGAACACTTTGGAAGAGACTAGCCATATTATCCAATACATGAGACATTTAATATCCTGTACCTAAGGACTCAAAAGTTTCAAGAGCTCCATTAAATGTCTCCTCTAGAAATAGCACCCTTCGAATCAGGATTCTAAGACGCGCTGGAAGATATTCGCTAAGACGGGGATTGTGAGCTATGCGTTGTGTTGTGTTGTGAGTGCGGATATCGAAGATGCTGTTAACGGCGGGGGGTGGTTGATAGGTACATAGGTTAGTATGGTGATACCGGGTTCATGTTTCTGAATATTAGTATTAGTATTAGTATGAGTATGCGTATTGTTGCAAATAGCGAGAGAGACAGTCCTTGCACTATTAATCTGAATCCATAGCTAATAAATTTGAAGAATTTGATCAGGTGCGATCTAACTCTAATTCCTATGTAAGATTACATTAGCATCATCATCACACCATTCATTGCTATTTCCGTGGCTGCATGCAGATGAGTCGATATACTAGGTATGTATATAAGGATGTGTAGCTGAGCACTCTTACTATATGCGTCAAAGATACCGCTGCTAGAACTGAGTATATGTATATATATATATATATATACCAACAATATCGAATCCTTACGCATATCCACCTAAAACTACAGATCCCGCTACCGCACTCCATCCATCACACATCACACATCACACACCACAAAACAAAAAACAAAATAAACTCGATGAGACTTCACATCTACCAGGTAGTACTTACGTATTAACTACGCAATACCCACACCACAGGCCCCAGAAATAATGCGGTAGTACGACTACAGCACTCCTCCCACTACAAGTCAACAACGCATGCATTCGAGATTGTGTGTCGTTACCTATCCACGGTTCTCACGTTCATACTCTCATTACTCTCATCTCTACACATATAATGACGGCGCGGCGCCAAGTTCCAACGACAAATAAGGATAGAAATGCAAACATCCATGGATCCTATCGAAATATCACACGCAGCCTTCAATATCACAAACTGACTCACTCACTCACTCACTCACTCACCCACCCCAAGACCAACCCATCCAAAGTTCCAAACACCCCCTATTTTCGCTCCCCCAACAACCCAACAGAGCGAGCACCAAGGAATCAAGTATCGCTCCAAAATCTCCCGAGAACCGCATCGCAACGTGTGAATCTCACGACCCCAGATTCTCATTTACCCGAGTCATGCCTTCAGCCCCCACATCATCCATCGAATCGTGGCGTCCAACGTGCTACTACCAAGGAACTTGCTTGGGCCCTTTTACCATTCGAACGCCCCTCTGAATGCCATCCGACCCTCAGATATCAGCTATGCAAATCCAGGTTTCCAAGCAAAAATCTCATACATAATTTTCGACTTGACTGACTCGGAATTACACTCACTTAATGTTGAAATCATTCCACAGATCAAAAGCATACACGACGAGGTTTACTAAACTCTGTGCAAATGGCATTTGTAACATCAAATATTATCAAAAATTATTTTCTAATGTGAGATCAATTCCGGACTAGACTACCTTGATCTTCCATCTAACTTCTGCTTTTTCTATACCATGCTGCACACAAGAGATGGCAAGAAACAGAACGTAGAAGATGGATGACACCAGAAAAACGCACGCAAAAAAAGACAAAGAGGAAGCCCCGTGGAATCATAGCTGAAACGAGATTCCTAGCCATAAGAAGACGTAAGAGCTTAAATCATCATACATTTACCACCCTTGCGCCTCTCATTGATGTGGACCGCTGAAGACACAAGAATAAGTTTGAGAGATGCACCAATGACCAATTTGGAGGAGCGGTGGAGATATGAACGTTTTGATTGGTTTTGTAGTATCTTGCAAACACAATCGTGGTATAAAGGTTGAGGATCGATGTTGTACTTAGTTGTGACCAGTCTTGCGGAGAGTCGTTGCGAGCCATTCCAAACCCTCGTAAAGACCATCTCCAGATGTAGCGCAAGTAGATTGAATGTACTAAAAATATATTAGCAATAGATCCATTGTAGCTACTCGATATACATACCCAGGCGCGTTGTCTCAAGCTGTGGAGACCCAACTTATCTGTGATTTCTGCGGCGTTCATGGCGTTCTAAAGACATAGATTAGTCATCGTTTCCAAATGTCGAATCTCAATATACTGACTGGCAAATCTTGTTTGTTGGCAAAGACCAAAAGGATGGCATCTCTGAGCTCATCCTCGTTCAACATTCTCTGCAATTCCTCACGAGCCTCGACCACACGATCACGATCGTTGCTGTCTACAACGAAAATGATACCCTGGGTGTTTTGAAAGTAATGTCTCCACAGAGGTCTGATCTTATCTTGTCCACCAACATCCCACACGGTAAATTGAATATTCTTGTACTCGACAGTCTCGACGTTGAAACCTGCAAGATAAAAGTTAATGATGGCCTCTCGATTTGCTGATGATAAGAGAATCGATGAAGGGATACATACCGATGGTTGGGATAGTTGTGACGATTTCACCAAGCTTAAGCTTATACAGAATTGTAGTTTTACCAGCAGCATCCAAACCGACCATCAAGATTCTCATCTCCTTCTTTCCCCAGAGACGATCAAATAACTTCGAGAATGTCAAACCCATGATTGCGGCTTAACAATTGTGTGTGAGGGTGGATATGGATTTGGTGTTTTGCTTGGAAAATGATTCTAATCGGGAAGCACAGATATTAGCGACTGCGCGATAGATGCAACTTGTTTATATGACCATGAATTAAAAGGACAGTTTCTTGGTGGAGCCACTTGTCGGTGTGAGATCCTTGATCGAATATAGAATAGGCTGCCGTTCTGGACAAAGGACACCTGCTTTTCTGGCATCTTTCTGGAAGGAAGTTCTTTTTGGTATTGGATTGTATCGGTGAATGGGCACGCGCTGCGCCGCCGTTGAAGAAGACTTGCCACACCTTCAAGGGGCTACCAAGAAGGCTCTCTGGATAGATGAAGATATAAATGGAATAGAATAACATGATACTTACAGATTTTCCCTTTGATTAATGAGATCAATAGAATGACCGAGTGGAGATGGAATTGAAGTTATTAGCGAGATGGTTTTTGGATTGAACAAAAAGATGGGGTGGATGTGCTTGGGAAGGTGGTGAGTGAGACTGTGAGAACTTTAGAAGGACAGCGGCGGGCGGTGATTCTCTGTTCTTTCGGAAATTTGACGCTAAAGTGATTACTCTAGCCTATCAGAGTCCCAAATAGGTTTGTGGTTCCAGATTTTTAAGGCTGCGGTGCTTTTTATCGATTGAACGATCTGGCAATAATTGCATTGGATTGATTTGGATTATCTGGGAAAAAGGGAGCTGGCGATATTGATGTCAATTGACCGTCGACTTGTGAATGAGGGAGAATAATAATACGGAGCAATCAATCACTCTCACCACTCTTTGATTGTGAATCAATTACATTACATACATTACTTTCTCAGTACCACAAGATCTGGTGAATTATTTGCACCGTACCTCTCACTCTCGTCAAGCAGTTACTCGAGACTCATCTATCTCACCCTTTACACCACGAGTCTTTCTTCAACTTCAATAAACCACCTTATTTCATCACACAACCAACATGCGATTCTCAACTCCCGCAGCCCTCTTGACAATTGGCAGTCTCTTTGGAGCTGCCGTTGCTCACAACATTCAACTCGCAGCTCATGGCAGAGAGTGCTTTCACGAACAACTTCACAAAGATGACAAGATGACGGTTACATTCCAAGTTGGAGATAGGGAGTTTGGCAGTGCTGGCAATTTGGACATCGACTTTTGGGTGAGTAAGGCTGGAGTCCTGTTGGAACATACTGGCGTATTTCTGGAAAGGCTCTGGGACTAACGGGATTTGAAATGTAGATCCAAAACCCCGCCAACGGATATGAGGCCCACGAAAGAGCTGTGTCTAACGGAGATCACTCATTTACTGCCAACCATGACGGCAAATACCTATACTGCTTCAGCAACGAGCACTGGTCGGCATCGAGCAAAGATGTATCTTTCAATGTTCACGGCATCGTCTATGTACCAGAGGCAGAAGCTCCATCGGATCCCTTAGAGGCAGAAGGTAGCTGAACGTACTTTCCTCTCCAAACATTTGAAGCTTACAATAGATATAGTTCGACAATTGTCTGACCTCCTTGCTCAAGTCAAGGACGAGCAATCATACATTGTTTTGCGCGAGAGAACCCATCGTAATACAGCAGAGAGCACAAACGGCAGGGTCAAGTGGTGGAGTATCTTCCAGATGGGAGTCTTGGTTGGCGAAGGTATCTTCCAAGTTTGGTGGTTGAAACGATTCTTCGAGGTAAAGAGCCACAGTACCGAACGCTACGGCGTTTTGAGCCGGTAGCTGATTGACTTGCGTAGGTCAAACGCGTTGTTTAAGAGTGCGCATCAAGCATGCTTCGTTCAACTAGTTCGGTATAACTTCTGGAGCGTAATTTTGGGAAATTGGAACAGCTATGTATCAACAGTATTCGATTCGAATTTCCGACTGAAGCTTTCTATATCTCTTGCGCGTTATTATGAGATACTGGGTAGCATACCCCTTTACTGACATTCAACTCTTCTTCATATTGAGACAATCTCATAGGGCAGGAAATGGAAACTCTTTTACCCAAGATATCACACATCGAAATCACCCATAACATCAGATGATCCATTGCTGAATCTCATGGAATATCAACTAATGTTCATCCCAAATCAAAGCCCTACCGGCTAAATTGTAAAACTATTTGTCCCTGGTATCATTCGTGCAGATTTTGACCCAGAACGTATTCGGTTTCGTACTCGCATGTTCTACTTACCCACGCCGCAACCCTTCCCCATGATTTTGTATCTTACAACGCGACGCCAAGCAATTGGGTAATGCTTCGGCAGCGTCTTTGTGTATGGTTTCAGTCCCAGTGCCGATGTTTTTCATCGTACAAAGACACGAAGCACAACATTGTCTCATATCGATGTTCGGTAACCATGCCATGCATTCAACATTGTATTCCAGAAGGAATCTTTGACGACAGATATCTTGCAGATGAGGAGGGCGTGCTCCTTTTTGAGTCCTTATGGAGAGACGTCCCCCCTTGAGCTGAAGTAACAGAGCCATCATCCATGGCTCGATCGCAATGGCCAGAATGTGCATGCACTGCTGCACTGTAAGGGAGGGTCGAGGATAGGTTGAGATTCATTCAAATTGTAACCGACCCTGTCAGCTCTTATCCTAAAAGGCTTCTTTTCTCCGGAAAGCTAATGAGCCGATGAGAATCCCGGACAGGAATTGGATCAATTGACATGGGAAGTGTAGGTTATCTCGTTATCAAATCAAGCGGAAGGTATGATATACCTTCCTAATACTTTGGTGAATTTTCTCGTAATATTTTCATGTCTCGTTGGTAAGATTTGATACTTTATGTAAGTCGCCACCAACCCTCCTCTTCTTCACGATCATTTTTGTATCACTTTTGTGCCATTTCTGGGAGCTTTTGGATCTCATATCAAATGTCAAAGCAAGCATCTTGACATTATCCATAATAAAATCGACTGTCGAATAGAATTCAAAGTCGCAAACGATTTCTGGGGTAAACACGAGGTCTCGGGTCCACATCTCCAATCATGCCGGACAAACAGACGGAACAACCCGCTCAGCCTGCTGCGCCAACGCTGGAAACTACCAACCATTCAAATAAGCATGGCGAACTTAAATCAACATCGCCATTACCTGACGTAGCACCTACTATTGGTGGTGCCGGTGTGGTATATGAGGACAGTGAGAAGGCAGGTGCAGCTGCTGCGTCTTTTAAACATCATCCAAGTGAACTTCCAGACCCGGAGAAAGACTTTCATGAAAATGCGTCCGCGGGAATCGGTGCACCCATAAATCACGATGGGGAGAAAGGGGGAGTTGTAGAAGGAACAGAAGAATCAAACGGAGAAGAAGATGACGAGAACCATTATATATCTGGTGTGCCACTGGCACTCTTGACTTTTGGTCTTTGCATGGCTACGTTTACTGTGGCGCTGGATAATACTAGTAAGCTTTCAAATTTGATATATTCATCTTGATGTGGGACATCGACCCTTTAGCATCTACACTGTTCGATACTCAGTTGTTTCCTTTAACGGGACACCTGCTCTAATTTCCCTCGCCCTTATCGGCATGAACTGTCTACTCATTTGCTTCATTAAAAGGATGGCTCAAGTACCAAACTAACCATCTCTAGTCATCGCCACTGCTATTCCCAAAATAACTTCAGTCTTCAACTCTCTGGACGATGTTGGATGGTACGGATCCTCTTACTTGCTCACAACGACCGCCCTCCAACCATCATTTGGACGTATATATACCTATTTTGACGTCAAATGGACTTATCTCTTCGCTCTTATCCTCTTTGAGGTTGGATCTATCATCTGTGCCGCTGCAAGAAATTCAGTCATGCTAATTATAGGGAGAGCGGTTGCCGGTGCAGGAGCTTCAGCTTTATTTTCTGGCGGCATGACAATAGTAAGCTATCTTTATTTTTGATAAGTGTCTATTGTTTATCTTTTTCGTGGAAGGTACATCTCAACTAACTCTGTCTAGGTTGGGTTCAGTGTGCCTTTGATTAAGAGACCATTGTATATTGCTATGTTATCATCAATGTTTGGCATTTCTAGTGTCGTTGGTCCCCTGCTTGGTGGTGCTTTAACTGACAAAGCTTCATGGCGATGGTAAGCATACTCCGCTCCTTGTTTTCGCACTCTTTGATTCCAAACTCAAATTTCCAGCTTCGGCTTTTGCTTCCTCTATGCTGTCAAACAACCCTTACCACTCATAGCCTCCTTGAAACCTTTTTTGTATAAGTAATTACTGACTCGTCAATTTGCACAGGTGTTTTTGGATAAATCTTCCATGTAAGTGTGTTCGATTATTTGAACTCGGACCTTCACTGTTGTACTTCTGGTCCCCTATCCCACAACGTCACGATGCCTGTCTTTCAGGTTTCTAACAGTCCCGGTTGCGACTTCTGAATCTGTTCTCAATTTCTGGGAGTAGTACAGTATTGAGAGCGAATTTAGTGCTTCAATCTATTCTATTCAATCACTTGAATTTATAAAGAGATTGCTTTGACCGTTGGACTGCAGTCGGACTACTGGTGGCCCTGATTCTGTGGACTACTGGTGGCCCTGATTTTGTTTACTTTCTGATAAGATGGGACTCGTCGATTACAACCAAAAACTGACTTTTGTTGAAAAATAACTGACCTCGACATTTTAGTTGGCGGAATTGCTATTGGTGCCGTAGCATTATTCTTTAAACCTCCCCCAAGAAAAATATCCGGCATGACCGTCAAGCAAAGAATTCTGGAAATCGATCTCGTTGGAGCTACATTCCTCATGGGGGCGATCATCAGTCTATTGTTAGCCTTGCAATGGGGTGGTTCAAAATATCCCTGGAGCAATTCGAAAGTCTGGGGCTGTTTACTCGGATTCGGTCTTTTGATCATTGTATTCATTGCCCAACAATTTCGTCGCGGTGAACGAGCTACCATTCCACCCAGAATTTTCAGCCAGCGAACTGTTCTTAGTGCTTGCCTATTCTCTTGTTTTATGTCAATGGGTCTTTACACACATATCTATTACCTTCCTTTCTACTTTCAAGCTGTCAAGGGTACCTCCGCAGAAGCTTCCGGTATTCGTACGATTCCATACCTCGGTTCCGTTATCGTCTCATCTATTTTTGCGGGCGCTGGTATCACTGTCCTTGGCTTCTACAAACCTTTCATGATTTTTGCCGGTGCAGTCTTCACGGTCGGCGCCGGACTCATGTACACGCTTCAAGTAGGCTCCAGTGTTGGAAAATGGGTAGGCTACCAATTAATCTGCGGGCTCGGCGCAGGCATGGGAGTACAAATCCCATTCATCGCAGTTCAAGTTGTTCTCAACGCAAAAGACATGCCCAGTGGAAACGCCATCGCCATTTTCTTCAATTCTCTCGGCGGAGCCATCTCTATTTCCATTGCACAAAATGTGTTTAGCAACGGACTCGTCAAATATGTACCTCAATACGCCCCTGCAGTTGATCCAGCCGTCATCTACGCTGCTGGTGCAACACATCTTCGCGAGGTCATTAGTCCTGCTGATCTGGTGGGCGTATTAGTCGCATATTGTAAAGCGTTGGATCAATCATTTGTTTTGGCAATTGCGGTTGGTGCTATTGCGACGATTTGTGCATGTTTTGTGGAATGGAAGAGTGTCAAAGGCAAGAAGATCGAGCATGGAGCCGGTGCAGCTTAGTGGTTGGAAAATGAGGTAATACTAATTTTTGATTAATACATAGCGCTATGGCGTTTCTTCTGGGGAGGGGAATTCTTTCAGATATACGGTTGGGTTGAGTGGTTTGTTTGTAGATGCATGATGGTTGGAAGAGGAGGTCGTTACATATGAGATATGGATGAAATGAGAATCAAAGGGAGAATATAGATATGAATATAACGAACTTTCCATCTAAATTTACACAAATATACGAACACCTACAAACATACGAACACTTTCATAAGTACTGATGATAACCATTTTTACCAGAAAGGGAATAAAGTATATTTCATAATTTCGAAAGGACGATGCAAGATACAAACAGAACTAAGCAAAGTGATGTTTAATTTATGTGTTTGGCTATGTAGAGCGTAGTGAGCATCTCCAACTAGGCTTACCAGCACCTTAAACCCGATGCACAATCTATATACCGCAGACTATACACAGTATCTTCAATACTTTCATTATTCCCAACCCAAAAGACTTGATGTCCCCAAAGAATATATATATATATATATGTATATATGTATTATTCCAAATCCTCGAATCGATGCAACATCAACATCCATCAAACACCTATCTATTTCCATCACCCCATGAACAAAACTAACTGTATATCAAAATCGAGAATTTCACAGTATGGTATATATAGTATAGTAATAACATCCGCTTATCCCCAATCTAAATATATATATACCATACCGCCAGACGAGTATTCAACAATCCTCTGTATTTCATTCGAATAGTTCGTCTGTATATAGATTGTCAAAAATTGGTTTATTCATGACTTTCGATGTCTGTCTCGGGGACTAGTTAGTACTCTACTTATTTACTTACTTACTTACTTGCGATCTAAAACTCAATCTATGTAATTCAATTCTATTGATTGTTGTTCTTTTCTGTATATCTTCTACGTAGATAGGTATGTACATACCATCCGCTGAAAGAAAAACAAAAGTAAAAACGAAAGCGCAAATCAACATAATATATATATCTACTACCTCCCCCCCCTCCCTACACAACCTATACAAACCCATCAAATCCACCCGCACCCCAAGATCCTCCCTCCCCCCCCTTTCCCAAAAAATCCACCCCCCAAATAAATCTCAAAAAAATCAATGAAGGGAATTGAGCCCAACGGGGGGGTCGAACCCCCAACCTTGTGATTGACCATTACATCCTACGATGAATAAGAGTCACACGCTCTACCGATTGAGCTAGCCGGGCAGGCTGTTGCTTTAATTGTTGAAAGTTTGGTCTCTAATTTACACATATATTACTGTGTGTGGATTGCGAAAATTCTTTGCAGAGTTTGGAGGTTAAGCGAGGGGGTGGTGGGTTGGTTGTGGATGTGCAAGGAACTTAGTTTCCGAGATGGTGCGTCTAGTAGGTAGGTAGGTATAGTGTAGAGTATAGACCATAGCGGGCTGTGCGGATATCAAAATAATTGTTTTAATTACGAGTATTGGGTTGGATGTAAAGATACAAGTTGCAATTCATCTGAATTTAGTTATTCTACTCTATAAA